ATATTCTAATCTGATGGTAGGGACTATCTTCATCATTTGTCAATTTATTCATTGCCTCTGAACTTCAAATTCAGTGCAGCTAAATGAATGGGTTCCTAGATTGGTAGGAGTACTTTTAACATTAAGAGCATAGGTATGTTTCATGTATGATATACCTTGGTTTTGGCACTGGCTGTAACTTTAGGCACAGGTTGCAAGTTCCATTTTTCAGCACCAATGTAAACTTTGAATGCTTGCTGAACAAATGATTGCAAGTCGAGAACTATTTGTAGTTTGTTTTTAGCTTGGAATAAAATATATTTTCCAATTCATGTATAATTTTAATATGTGGCTCTAGGGCTTAGCCATTCCAAAATGTCAATGTTAACAAAATACTATTCCTTGCTACCTATGTACTCCAAAAGGAGATTTATTATCATGAAACCTATATTTATACTTTTTCTGGTCAGGAAGATGTACTTCTACACTAAATGTGAAGTTAAATTGATCAGTTTTACTAATCTAACAAGGGCCCCACATATTTTTGACAATATATTTACTTATAGGCTAGTGGTTTTCCTTGCAATATCCCCACTTCTCATTCTGAATTAAAATAATATCTAAAGTCAGATTGCGATAAAATATTGGCAAGGAATAAAGGTTATATCTACTGGTATTTATTTGAAAGCCTTTGTGTTACATCTTCAAGAGACATTTTATTCAGAAGATTTATTCCTCTAACTGGTTCAAGATTTCCAAAGCATTTGATTAGCTATATCCTTGATTCTGGTAACAAATTTCCCTAGTATTAACTACTTATGATTAGAAACAAAATATAATAATAAAGTTATCTTCAGATCATCCACTAAAGTGGAACTAATCTAATCTGAAAAGAAAAATCCTTTAATGAACACCATCATTTGTTATAGATTTCTAGATAATATGAAATTAATGCACATGTGTTTCTAAGCATCAAATACTGCTATGATTTACTAAAATCAAAACTGTTTGAGACTACTTGCCATATCTCCTGGCCTGTCAGCAAATCCTCCTGTTTCCTCATCCTGGCAAGCCAAGATAAAATTGCATAATTTCTGTCTGTCAATCCAGTGCAACCTGCCAATTATCTTCAGGGATGCTAATACCCACCATGAATAACATACATCTGGTAACTGCCAAATGAAATGACAGCAGAGTATGTTAAGGCAATTGTGATTGTTTAGAGCAAGAATAATGTGATTTAAGTCAAAATAAGATATTTTCCCTGAATAAAAATTTTAAAAGACATGGGAAGTCTTTTCCTTCTATCACTGAGCAGAAAAATCTGGAGTCTTTTTTTAAAACCAAACATGCACAATTAAATTAAGCTGTACAAAGTTTACCTAAAATTACATTATGCTTGCTATTTTAATTTTTTGAGAAATCTTCCATGCAATATTGACCTGTTTAATGTCCATAGCTAACAAGATGAATAAAAATATAGATTAAAACAAAATCTTAAAAAGCATATCATAAATTTACAGTAAATCTTGAAATGTTCTTACTGCCTTACTTTTTCTAAATGGTTAATTAGAATTACAATGACTATGTTTGAATGAAGTCATAATGCAGTTGCTTTGCAGCTTAGTTCTTTGTGTAATTCAGCCTTTGTTTTAAATAGTACTTTTATGTCTTAACAGAGTGAGAAAGGATTTTATTGTGGTATCTGAATGCATTAAAATACATATGCATGGACTTGCAATTTCCTAAAATGTATGGATTAGATTGTTTCTGTTTAACTAATAAAAGAATATAAGAAACAGGATACTAAATTCAAAAAAGATAAAGGGATTTCTACACAAGGTAATTGAATTAATGGAAGTATAATAAACCAATATATAGTATTAGTAAGATATGGGGAAACTCTACCACTTCAGTTGTCATAGCACATTGATAAGGTAGACCTGTAAGCTTTCTAGTGTCTTGACAAATTTGATATTCTGTTTCACTGAAAATAAGACTTTTCTTTTGACTCCCGAAAAAACGGCTAGGGCTTCTTTTCAGAAGGGTCTAATTATTGGCTCACTTCGCGGTGGTGGCACTGACAGCCCCATCCAGCAGCCCGGTGCTGCCCACTTCTGTGGCCACTCATATGCATCAATCCTGGACTCTATTTTGCCACCAGAGCCTTCCGGAAAGCCCTCTGCAGCTGTAAAACGAGCTCAGAATTGACACACACAGCAACCCCTGGCTTCCATTTCGCCTTCAGAGGCCTTCTGGAAAGCCTTCTGCAAACGATAAGAGAGCTTCAGATTCGGAGCTGTTATTAGTTGCAGAAGGCCTCTGAAGGTGAAACGGAAGCCAGGGGGCACTGCACATGTCAATTCAGAGTCAGTTTCACAGCTGCAGAGAGCTTTCTGGAAGGCTTTGATGGCAAAACTGAGGCTGTGGGTGCCGCACATATCCGTCTGAAGCTCGCTTCAGAACTGCAGAGGGCTTTCCAGAAGACTCTGATGACGAAAGGAAGGCTGGGGGCAAATGGTGTCAAGCGGCCGCAGAAGGCAAAGCAGGCGTCAGGGTGTTGGAGGCCTGCTAAGTAGGGTGGCTCCACCCTCCACAGCTTCCTTTTTAATCTGTGCCTCACCCCACCCCCGCACCCAAGTGGGTGGGGTATTAATTAGGCCTAATTTTGGGGACAGGGCTTAATTAGAGTGCATGCATTTAAAAACATGATGGGTCTTTTCAGGGTGGGTCTTGTTTTAGGGGAAACAAGACCCCACCCTGTTACATTAAGGAATAGTTTATCTGTCAAATCTACTCCCAAAACCATTGTATAAATATACCATCCAAGCATTGCCTCATGGTGTTTTCCAAATGATGATGGCAAGAGAAAATGACTTTAATGCTATTCCTTTATTATGGTGAATGTCTATAACAGGAGTGTCAAACCTGAGTTGTCACGTGACATATCACAACTTCTCCCCCCTTTGCCAAATTGGGTGTGGGCAAGGCCAGCGTGTAACACATCTGTCCTGCAGGCCACAAGTTTGACAACCCTGGTCTAGAATAAACCTAATGCTGCTTGGTAGTTTGTATGTTGTGTACACCTGATCTAGAGTAATGTTTCAAGGTTATTTGCAAATGCATAAAGAAAATAACCACCTCTATTGAATCAAGAATCCTTGCTAAAAATAGAAAGTGTTAATGGGAGTATCAATGAATTCCAAATGTTGTCTTACAACAATAGTACACATGGCTAGAACCAGTCAGTCATTTTTTTAGAAAATTCTGCTTTCTTCCAAATTATGGAATTCTGAAAAACAAAATGTGGGCAAATTATACCTTTTCTGGTCTTCCATTAAGGCCACCAGATGGCAATTGACGTTCACAAAGCCACCATCCTAGAAGATCAGCATTTATTTGGTGTAACTGGCCAGTTATAGCCAGAAATCCTGTGCAACAATAGATCTAAAATTACAGATATAAAGTTCATGTCTATTTTAGAAAGATATTCAGAAAAAACCAAGAAAAATACAATGTGGGATATCAATTATTTATATAATAAATGCGACAAATTAAATCTCTCAACTTTTATCTATCATACTTGCAATTAAGTATTTAAAATATGAAACTAATATAACCTAGTAACATTTAAAAATCAATAGTGATGCACAGGGTCAATGGATGCTATTAACGATATCCTTACTGTTCTTCTTAGATTTTCCTTACCCGGGTTTTTGATAAAATTATGCAGAAGGATTTAGTATGTTTAATATTTAGGGGACTAATTAATATTTAAAAAAACCTTAAAATCAAAGATAATTTAGCATGTTATTTTATTACTAAGCTTTAATTACAATTTACCTGTCCTGCATGCGATTCAGATCCTGGTCTACAACCAAATCCTCCATCAAAATTCATACAAGATAACACAAAATCTATTGCTTTGTCCATATCAATTGCATCCAACTTCCCCTGAAAAGCAGAAAATTGAAAATTACTTCTTTGGCAAAACTCAACTAAGGATTGTTGTTTACCCAACTTGGCAGAGGAAAATACAACTTTTTTTGTAGAATACAATAGAGGTGCTCCTTCTGCAATGACTTTCTACTCAATTTGACACATCTAATGTTAAGAGAAATATTTAAAAGTCAATGCAGTTAATTTCCATTATTGACTGCTCTACAATTTAGCAAATTCATAATTTCCAGTGTCTGAATGAACAAGGAGCTCCGAATGCAGAACATAGCATTTGTCAAAACTAATAAACGTCAACAAAGGACTGAAGACATCTACCGAATATGATGGGTTTTTGGGTGGTAGAAAGATAACATTTTAAATTTATTATACTTGATTCTTTTTCCTGTAATCTGACAATACCAATTTCAAACTTGGAATCTTTTAATTTAATTTTTGAGCTTTAATTCCTGGCATTGCCAGATAACCTGGTTAATACTAGTTTTCCACTCTAGGAATATTTTAAATGTTACATTCCTAATAATATCCTGGGAAGTTTTTTTAAAGTCCAATAAAATAAAATACAGAATATTGGAAAACATATCTTGACCATTTCAGTATATATATATGTTTGTTTCAAAGGACTTACCAGAAGGGCTAAGGTTGCTACTGCACAAAATGAAAACCTAGTATCAATTTCTCCTAGAGGAAGAAATAAAAGTAGCTATATACATGACACGAAAAAGGTTTATAAAATTGAGTTAAGTTCAGAAATACAAAAGTAAAACAAATATGTATCAATTCAAGGAAAAACAAAGACATCATAGACAAGGTTAGCTTGTTTATAGAAATATTCCCAAATAAGATAAAAACATTTTAAGAAACTATTGTATTTAAAAGTAAATATATTAACAAATTAAAAATTCAATCAATCAATCAATTCAATCACACGCCTATTTAAACACAAGTCTTACTGTTGTTAAATTTACATAGAAATGCACAACCAAACTATATTTTCACAATAAAACTGGCAAAAATTGTGCTTATGCAAAAAATTGTAATTATTAGTATTAAGCAATATTTCTCAGATCTCAGAGTAATTCTAGAGCTAAAATGGTGATATACATCACATTTAGAATCAGATGTATATAAATTCTCATCATAGATCTAAGTAACTAAAATTCAGAAAAAAAGTGGAAATACCATCACATATCCTCTTGAATTATGATTTTAAATCTTTCATCAGAAAATGGAAATCAATATACTTTAAGTTACCCCAAATATCTCCAGCAAATGATCCATCTTCCTTCTGTAAGCTTTTTACATAATTAACAATCTTATTTACATCGACAACATCCAGACTGTCATATAGTGTTAGAATCTGGAAAACAAAACCAATCATTAAAAATTTAGAATATAAAAATACATGAGAACATAGTTATATATCTGAAAACAATTCAAAACTATTTTAATTAGAATTTTATTTTATTTCACTAGTCTGAAATATACAAAAAATCCAATCTTGTTATCTCTATTTTTCTACCTCCAATATAAAGTATTTAAAGGTACATTAAATTTTAAAGAGTTTCCAATTATATCCAAAATATGCTGAGTTATAATCTATATTTAATTACACTTAAGACTTATATGAATCAATAGAAAGTTAGGCATGACTAAGACTGTTTTCCATGACGTTAGACATGACTTAGGATCCAACCTAAGTTGTTTTTTTAATTAAAAAAGCAAGTATGTCATAGTAAATAATTCCAAGCTACTTAAATAACTGATATGCAAATATTATTTTTTTCAAAATGCCTATAGTAATTCTTTCCACTAATAAAATCTTTTTAATCTAAGGGAATTCAAAGAATACTATAAACATTTATTCAATCATCATGCATTTATTTTAATTATAGTAACAGTTTGTATGATGAAATTACTACTCCATGTTTTAGGTATGTGTAGGTGTGCAATAATTAGAATGTAAAATAAATAGAATTTATTAACAAACTTACAATAATTTTTGAAACAGATTAGACAGAAACATCTACATTTCTTCTACTCTTTCTTATGCTAATTTGGGATTTGATCATTGAAGCTCCCATCTGATTAACTTAATAAAAGGCAGGTGATTTAATATGTCTTGTATGTACTTTACTATAGTTTGTGTTGGTTAATATGATATGAGCTACCATCTGGAAGGCAGATGATTTATTTATCCAAGTCTAAGATATTCTGGAATTTTGAATTAAGATTCAAGAATTAAGTTGCTCTGACAAAATCCAGAAATCTAATGCATAATTTTTTTAAAAAAATTCTCAGGTCTCAGAGTAATTCTAGAGCTGAGTGTTAAACCACATCAACTGCAGATTCAGATAAAACATCATTCCATCACTGACCCAAGAAGCTATAATGCTTTGTGTTAAAAGCATTAGTATTAGTTATAGGAAGTTACTTAAACTTGCCGAAGTTGGTTTGGGTGAAATATCATTATTATGATTGGTCCAGGGTTACGCTATATAAGATGGATTGTTATACAAATACAATCAAACAATCAAAAATTCAACTGTACTTTACATTTCTCCAGTTTAAAAACTTAAGACAAAAAAATAAGCTAAACCATTTATTTTAGAGTTTGTAAAAAAACAAAAGGTGCATTATTTTTTAGCCAACAATGAATGCTGAATCTAAAGAAAACTCAGTAAATGTAAGGAATTTTTTTTAAAGAAAAGCGTATCTTGGAGCCTAGAAAACAATTCACTTAGACATTAACACTATGGATAAACCACCAGTGAATCTGTATAAATAACATATGTGTTTACCTGAACAGCACTTAATGTATATAAAAGATGAGGATCATGGCCTATACTGGCACTTATGCCACCACATTCATGTTGGCATGATTTGATAAATGCTAGAATTTCTTCTTTGTTCATTCGATGAAGCTGCCCCATGAGATCCATTACTGTCAATCCCCAATAGACGCCACTCATTCTTAAATATTCTGACATGCAGTATTCCTGAAATAAGTATCACATTTATATTAGTTTCTAATCTAAAGAATATAAAGAAATAATGAATGTAAAAGATAGCATGACTATTTATTTAAATGATTAGGGAAAGAATTCCCAACATAGGAACTTTTATTTTACCATACATACACTGAGGATTCATTAAATCTACAAGTATAGAAGAGCCTAAAACAAGTATGATGTCATTCAGGTACAGAAACGTCTGAGATGAGTTGTTCCAGGCATGGAACAAATTTGCACATAGAATATCTTGCAAATTGCTAAAAGTTCCCAATTATTTATTGGGAACTTTTATATATTTTTATATATTCGTATATACTTTATATACTCATTCACTAAACTATCAATTGTGTATATATAATTTGTTAAAGCTGACAATTGTTAAATGCTAGGTACTGGTAATCTATCTCATAGTGCCATTTGTATAATCATCCCATCTTTCCTTCCTCAGCCATCACCCATACTATCCTATTTAAATCTACATCAGCATCTCCATGCATCTGGTTAAATGAGCTGTGGTTCCTCAAAGCTTATGCCTTTTAATAAAATCTGTTAGTCTAGAAAGGTGCTACCAGATTTTGGCTATCATGGATTAATACTGCCTATAATTAACCATTTTAATTGGCTAAAGTAGCATATTACTTTGTTCCAAATTTTTAAGCAAAGAACATTTTGAAAACCAGAAATAAGTATTTAACATAAAAATATGTTCAATTAATTTAAAAATAGGTTTTTTTTAGGTCTCAGTATCATTCTAAAGACTTCTACAGCTCTGAAGTCAGATAATACATGCCAGATTACATCACTGACCTAAATAAACTATCTGCAATGTTTATGAGAGTTGCCTCATAGAGTAGATGTGCACCATACAAAAATTAACATTAAATAATGAAAAAAGAAAACCTCTTCTATATTCCATATATATCTACAAGTGCTACGGAGAGCTAAATAAATATTATTTGTTAACATATTACTCACATAATCATCTTTCTTCGTTCCATAAGCAGCTATGTAGTCTGCATGTTTTTCTAACAGTAATGTTGATGGAGCATCATTTTTTATTATGACATCTTTTTGTGGTGTTCCCTTAAAAATGTTATGGTAAAACTTATCAAAAAACTGTTGCAATCAAATTACATAATAGAGTTTCCCAACATGTTCAAACAATGAATTACATATATTTATTATAATTAGTAAACTAAATTTTAAAATGCTAACATTCATAGAAGTAAAAAAAAAATCTGGATACAATAATGTAAATTTTACTGTACATATTTTCCTACAGGCAGAAAAAAAATAAATTTTCTCTTAAGCCGTTTATCAACATTAGTAAAAAGAGACATATTACATAAATCTGTCAGCAACAGAGAACTATACCATGTTCATAAAGGTTAAACTGTTTTTCCCACCAAGATGGCCACCTAGTTAATGAATGAGTGGATGTGATTGATCACTGGTTGCTTCTTTTATTTTTAAAAAATTTACTATCTTGCTCACAGTTAAATTTTTTCTCACGGGACATACATTTTAGTTATCTCATTCTAGTTCTTTCTCTTGATGCTGTTTGTCCCATGGTAAACTCTTTGACCCTCGCCATTTTGAAGTTAAGCACATGGCATTCCACTTTTCCCTTAACGATTTTGTGGGTGAAGAGGCTAAAAAACAACAACATGCCCAGCAAATCGAAAAGTTTAGGATTTAATTCGCAGATCACCAAGACTTTTCTTTTTAAACCAGAACAAAAAAAGTTATCAAAGCAATTGCTTAAACTACATGCTACGTTTTGGCTTTTGCACAACCTCAACAGTCACATCCTCCCCCACCCTCTCTCTATATATAGAGAGAAACCCCTGCCCTATATAAACTTTGCTGTACTCACCCAGCAAGAAATTAAGGAAAGTTGCCAAGGTACCTCGCAAATAGGTAGGGGCTACGACTTGTGGACTATAAAGGAAAGCGCGCAGCATTTTTGGTTTAATCATCAATTGTTACCGTGATGGATAGCCTTTTTCAGCAGATTATGCGGGAGGGGGAGAAAATGGCACCTGGGAAACGTGGCTCCCCTAAGCAGCCGTGACCAATTTCTCGCTCGCCAGCAAATACAAATCCCGGCCAAAGACCGCGAAAAGGGCTGGTTTTCCCACCCCCAAGCTACCATCTCCGCCTCGGCCTCAGCCTCAACCCGTCGTGGAATGGCCAACGGGCCTAACAAAGGGGGCTCCGTCGACTATTTTCCCTCCCCGAGGAAAGCAACAGAGGGATGAGAGGGGAGGGAGAGAGGCAGCAGGAGCAGCGAGGGCGCGAAAAGCAACAAGAGCGGGAAAAGGAAGTGGACACTCACCATAATGGTACATCGGCGATGGCTGCTCACGTGATTCTCATACGCATGCGCATCACTCACCGGAAAAAAAGAGAAAGAAGTCGATTTCCGTCTGGTGTTCCGAATGGATCCGGTGGAGCTGGCTAAGAATTTCCTGTACAGAGAAAACTTTTGTTTCCGCGGCGTTGTTTTCATTTTTATTTTATTATTATTTTTAATCAACAGCTGTACGGCGAAAGCTACTTATTGAAGCAGAGGAAGGAGTTTGGTGCTTGTTTCTATTGAAAGAAATTATTCTGAGACGTTCTTTTTTATACTGGGGAACACTAAATTGGGGGGAATTATCAATTTCATTTAATAATCTTAACTGGTTTCTGTCTTTATAGAAGGTAGATATTGGTAGTGGGGGGGGTTCGTGCCGTCTTTACAGGTTATCGACTTAAGGACTGTAATCAAGCCCAAAATTTGGGAAATTGAGTCATTTGTTAAGTGAACGTTGTCCCTTTTAACGACCTTTCTTGACAGTTAAGTGCAGTTATTAAGTTAGTAACAGGGTAGTTAAGTGAATCTGGCTTCCCAGTTGACTGTTTAATTCCTGATTCCCACCTCCTCGCCTTTATGGTTTTAAGGTTGAATCATGCAAGATCATTTTCTTAAAATGCCAAAAGGAAATAAAATTGGTATTACTTATATAATTTAAAATTTGTTCTCCATAGAAGTCCTACAATTAGAAAAGCAAATTAAACAGAGGACTCAAAAGCAGACTTGTTCATTTATTGAAGAAAATTATCCAAAGGTATATATTTCTGTGTGGCAAAAGTATATAAATCTCACCCTCATTTGATGGTGAAATTAGTCAGGTGTTTCAATGGGATGGTAATTGGGTGTGAGTGTGGGAGGTCCTGCCTTAGTTCAAGAGTAGATTCAGGTTCTTCACTATCAAAATGAGATCTTCATGACAGGTCTACATAATTGGGTCACAGCTGGAAGAAAGATTTCTGAGGATCTATGAAAAATAGCTGCTGACACTCATCAGCCTAGGAAAAGTGACAAAACTATTTTTGAAGAAATTGGACTCCACCACTACTATTAGGCAGACTGAGTACAAAGGACATTCAAAACCATTGTTATCCTCTGTACCATACCTTCATCCTATTCTGGAAAGGGGGAAAAGTATGTCATCTGAAAATCAGTCTCCGTTCCTTACTTTGGCTCCATGTCAAAGTCTGCAGTGTTGCTGCCCTCACAATAGTAGTTATTGCATCTATTGGAGTACCCATGATGGCTTCATTGATAGGTAGGTAGGGAAACATAACAATCTGTGCTTAGCCTGGGCACTTCGCAGATCTGGGTAACAATAAGTGTTGTCTACTGTTTCCTGATTTAAAAAAACAGTATTCCACAAGGTTCACATTCCCCAGATTGAACCCCCACCAAGGGGAGGAAAAGCTATACAAAAGAGGTATAGCTCTTCAGCAGCAACAGTTACTTTGTCCTTACTGTTAGGAATGTAAGTCACCTAACAGTTAGTTGGGTTGGAAAATATATAAACCAGGATAGACATTTTAATACTGTCTCTTTAAGGGAATGCTAAAATGGTAATTGGGTGTGATTCTCAAACTGCCGTAAGATGGAGCCAGAAACCCGGATTGTTCTGTTTCTGAGAGTCTTGCCGTTCCTACATTTTCCTATTGTTACTGATCATCGTTAGTCTTGGATTTGATGTAAGTCTGTTACTGAACTGTTTATGATACTGGACTTTGTTATTTGGATTATCGCTGGACTGAAAACTGACTGCTTTAACCGTGAATGACTTGGACTGTGTTTGTACTTTGCTTAACTGTTTTACTGGAAGTAAAAAACTACATTTTACTATACAATGTAGCTGTGTGCTGTTTGTGTGTTATTCTTCAACACTCTCACTACGTCTCCCTGTGTGCGCTCATTCTCCTAATGGGGAATTACCTCAACACTTATCCCCCTTTGACCAAATGCAATAGATGGGAGATAATACTGCACAAAAATGTTCAATCAGGAGGTTTTCTGGCATTTTCCAAAAGAAAATGGCAATCTTCTTCCAAATAATCTTAATCCAGCATAGATTGCTGTGCTAATGTTCTCAATGAACAGTAAAAAGGCTAGAGGTAAAAAGCCTATATAAGTAAAAACTTTCAGTGCTTGTATAGCTCTGCAAACATAACTTAAGCATATTAGTCTTCCTGTTATAAATCTAATGTTATTTTAACAGATTTCCACTGGTATGATGGAGGCTTTTCAAAAATAAATGAGGACCCTAGGGCTTGTGAAGGGTGGGAGAAGAGAGAGGAAAAAAAGAACATTAGCAAATAATGTTTTATTGGGGAAATAAAATCAAGCCCAAATACATTTTTTAAAATTTTCCATTTGGTTTTGCTATTTTTTAAAACTTTTCCATATGGTATTTGCTAAACTTTGGGAGCAGTACCAAAGTAACTATATACATCCATTATAATAAAAAGGTCATATTTAAGCATATAGAATTTTGGCTCATTAGAAATTTGAAATGACAGCTCATAAGAATACCGTAAATATAAAATCATTGGGAAAAAATTCACTGCATGACTATATTTATCATATTTGATACGTTTATCAAGTCCTCGCAACAGCAATTGTGAAAGGAATTTTGCATTCTCAAGGGATGTGATGTATGGGGGTGCATGAAAGGTGCTGCATGGATCAGGAACAGTACGTGAGGTGCCAGGAGGGGTTGGTAAAGGTGTACAAAGTGTCATGTAGCTCAAAGGGTGTGCACGGGGTATGGATCAGAGGATAAGTGGCTAATGCGAAGTGAGTGATAAGAAACACCTCAGCAACTTGCAATCGTCCCTTCCATCTTCTCCATTGGACTTCTGGGGAAGCCAGAAGGAAAGATTGCTGGCAATCATGATTGTGGGATGCATGTCAACTGACTGTAACTGTGAACTGATTGTCAAGCACCCAGATTGTAATCACATGATTAGCAGGGTGCTAGGATGACCAAAACTCCAAGAATTAATTATAACCACCATTCGTTAAGTGGCATTGTAACTTGGAATTGTTGATTGATCAAAGATCAAATAATACCTATCAAGGAACACCATAACATTTAAGGTACCATTATCTCTCTTCTTTTACAACACCCTCAAAAATTTATCCTAGAGAGTTGAAGTAGATTCCAAATAGTGGAGCTAAGGCATGGGAAAGGAAATTGGGATAGATTTTTTTTTTTGCATTTTTCAATAAGGAACTTTCATTAAATTTCATTATGTTCTGTAAAACAAGAATAACTTCTATATTCTTTATGAATCCAACTCCAGGCAATACAATTAATTTATCTGCAAAAATATTTTTAATGTAGTCAATATGTAATATGCAATACAGATCTAACAACATCTAATTTACACATGGCTCCCAGACTTCAATCTGCTATGAAATTCTTCATCTAATTTATGTCAGTGACCTGTTCAACTACA